GATAAGTTTTTTCCCCTTTGGGAGTTTTAAAAAAATAGTAAATTGGGTTTTTTTTTAGTTGTTCTTTTTTTAGAGCTAGGCATTTAAAGTTTAGGAAATTTTAAATTTAGCTGCTTTTATATAAAAATATTTTTTTTTATTTTTATATAAAAAATTTATTTTTATTTTTATTAAGAACAAATTTTTTTTGTTCTTAACCTGGGGTTTTAAATTTGTCTTGGGTTAAATTGATTTAATTCGATTTTACTTCTGTTCTTAATTTTTGTATTTCACGTGTTTTATTCTGTGCCTGTTCACCGCTCTGAGTCCTTCGGGAGTAGGGCGGTATACAAATTAAATAAAATGAAAATGAATGAAAATAAAATAATATTTGTGCAGCTTTCTGAGATTTAGTGTGTTTCTGCAGTGTTTCACTCTAACTACACAAACACACAAAATCTCACAAAGCTGTATGTGGAATTTTGTGTGTGTAAAGTGTGAAAGTTGTTTTTTTGGGCTTTTTGTGGCTGTGTGAAGTTCCTGCTGGTTGCGGGGGCCATTTGGGGTCTAGCACAACTGCTTTTACATTGTGTGTGAGCCAGTTGTGTTGTGTTGTGTTGTGTATGTGTAAAGTGTGAAAGTTGTTTTTTTTGGGGGGATTTGTGGCTGTGTGAGGTTCCTGCTTGTTGCAGGGGGTCTAGCACAGCTGCTTTTACACTGTGGGTGAGCCAGTTGTGTTGTGTTGTGTTTTGTAGGTTAAAAAAGGGCAAAGAAGTGACATTGACTTGGCCATGCCCACCTGACCAACAAGTCACGCCCTCCCAGTCACCTTACCACCAAGCCCCGCCCACTAATTAAACCATGCCCACAGAACCGATAGCAAAAAAAATTATATTTCACCTCCTTTTGCCACGCATTTGCTAATTGAATGCAAGGCTCGTTAAGTGCACATGAGACATTTCAGGATGGGGAAGGCCATGGGGAGGCCTACTGATGGAACAGGCCATCTGCAAGGCTTCCCCAACCCACTGGAATTGGGGGTGACCTCATGCTCCCCACAATTGCTTCCTGCACAACCTGCCATGCCAGGTCACTTACCTTGAGAAGATCTAGCAAGCTAGATCTTGGTTGCTGGCTGAAATGTAGTTTCTGGGGAGCTAATTTGGTCCTTCAATGCTCCATTCAGCCTTCCACAGGCTGCAGGCCGAAATGCAGCCTCTGGGAGGCAGAACCACCTCCCAGAGATTCCATTTCAGCCTGCAACAGGCCTGGGGAGGCCCACAGAGGGCTGCATCTGGCCCTCAGAAACTCCATTTTGGGCTGAAACAGTCTGGGGGAGGCTTCTGGAAGATGTATTCTAACAGATGTATTTCAGTCAGCAACAGGTTGGGGGAGACCTCTGGACACCAAAATGAGACTTTTGAGGGATGAATCTGCCCCTCAGACGCTCCATTTCTGTCGGCAATGTGCAGGATGAATGTTGCAGAGCCTCTACAGTCATTCGTAAGGGTGAACAACTGCTGTGGTACTGCAAGATTCATAGTTTTGGGCCTTGTTCGCAAATGCTAGGGATACTTATTACATACATTCGAATGTTCACTAAGGCAACACTTGTAATCTAGACTTCATCAGTCATCCTATATTTCATCATCTCCTGGTATAGTGAATAGTTCTGTTTCTATAGAAAAAAGCTTTCACTAGATAATATTGGTTGAACTAAAAAAAATATTGTGGTTTGACATTGTCAAAAATTATGAAAGCTTTAGGTTAGAAATGAATAAACAATCTAGCACTTCTTTGAATAAGGTCATGGCAAACTATATTTGCATCATTGTTTGTAACATAGATACATCTATGCAGACATCAAAAGTTGAGTTTGATTCAAGGGAAATTTTGTTTTTAACTTATTTTTAACTACAGGAAAAGAATTCCTTTGACATATTTGATTGGCAGCATCCTAGACAGCTACAGATAAGAGATAAATGATCATTCCCACTTCTAGATTTAAATTCGAAATCTACATTTCAGTATGGAAATGCATAAAGTAATAGTTGAAAGTATAGAGTTGACCAAGACATAAAGTGACTGTTATAGTCTTTTTGTGTAGCACCATTTAAGATATGGAGATTTGGAGAATAACTTACTTGAGCTAAGCAACATCTAACTAGGTTGTATATATATAGTGAAATGTGTAAGAATTCCAAGTAATAAATCCATGGCAAGCAAAACTCCAAAGCAGGTAAATTCCTCAAGAAATATTTTTATTGGAAATATCATATTGGCACATATCTGGTGAAAACCTAAAGACTCCCATGGTTTTCACCTAATTAAAAGTAAGTTTCAAGTTTCAAGTTTATTAGATTTCTATACCGCCCTTCTCCTGAAGGACTCAGGGCAGTGTACAGCCATATTAAAACACATAAATTTATAAAATTTAAAACCAAATTAAAATCAATATATAAAATTGGCCCACAAATTTAAAACACACATACACCCACAATAAAATTCATATTAGGCCAGTCCGACTTGCTCGAACAGGAGGGTCTTAAGGGCACAGTGAAAAGTACGCAGGTCGGGGCTAAGACGGAGCTCTAGGGGCAGCTCATTCCAGAGGGCTGGTGCCCTCACAGAGAAGGCTCTCCCCCTGGCTGTCACCAGTCGGCACTGTTTGGCCGATGGTAACCTGAGGAGCCCCTCTCTGTGGGAGCGTATTGGCCGGTGGGAGGTTGTTGATGGCAGAAGGCGGTCTCATATATATCCCGGTCCTAAGCCATGGAGCACTTTAGAGGTGGTGAACAACACCTTGAATCATATCCCAAAGACCACCAGGAGCCAGTGCAGCTCGCACAGGAGGAGTGTTATGTGGGTGCACCGATTCGCACCCATAACCACCTGTGCAGCCGCATTCTGGATGAGTTGGAGCCTCTGAGTGCTCTTCAAGGGGAGCCCCATGTAGAGAGCATTGCAGTAGTCCAGATGGGATGTGATGAGGGCATGAGTGATCGTGCGCAGGGCATCCCGGTCCAGAAAGGGATGCAACTGGTGCATCAGGCGAACCCGATAGAAAGCTCCCCTGGCCGTGGCCGTCATATGATCTTCCAAAGACAGCTGTACATCCAGGAGAACACCCAAGTTGCGAGCCCTCTCTGGGGGGGCCAGGATCTCACCCCCAATAGTCAGCAATGGCTCCAGCTGACTATACCAGGACGCCCGAAGCCACAGCCACTCAGCCTTGGAAGGGTTGAGCTTGAGCTTGTTTCTCCCCATCCAATTTTGCACGGCCTCCAGGCACTGGGACATCATGTAAAGGGCATCATTGGGGTGGTTTGGGGTGGAGATGTACAGCTGAGTATCATCAGCGTACTGATGGAACCTCACCCCGAAACCACAGATGATCTCACCCCGCGGGTTAACATAAATGTTGAACAAAAGGGGCAAGAGGACTGACCCTTGTGGCACCCCACATACAAGGCACCTCGAGGTCAACCTCTGCCCCCCGCCAACACAAACTGCATACGGTCAGAGAGGAAGGAGGAGAACAACCGCAACATGGTGCCCCCCACTCCCAACCCCTCCAATCATCGCAGCATGATACCATGGTCGATGTTATCAAAAGCCGCCGAGAGATCTAATAGGACCAGGACAGAGGAGCAACCTCTGTCCCGAGCCCTCCAGAGATCATCAACCAATGCGACCAATGCCGTTTCCATGCTGTGCCCTGGCCTGAAGCCCAACTGATACGGATCTAGATAATCAGCTTCATCCAGGTACTGGGGAAGTTGTTGCACCACCACACTCTAAACAACCTTCGCCACAAAGCGAAGGTTGGAGACAGGGCGATAACTGGCTAATACAGCCAGGTCCAGGGAAGGCTTCTTGAGGAGAGGCCTCACCACCGCCTCTTTCAAAGAGGGAGGGAAGTAGCCCTCACTCAAAGAAGCGTTAATAATCCCCTGGAGCCAGCCTCACATAACCTCCCAGGAGGCCAGCACCAACCATGAGGGACATGGATCCAATAAACATGTGGCAGCGCTAAGCCTCCCCAGAATCCTGTCCACATCCTCGGGAGTCACAAGGTGACAAACCCTCCCAGATAACATTATCAAGACCCTCCTCCGTCACCCCATCCAGATCTACCCAATCAGAATCCAGACCTTCCCAAATCTGAGTGACTTTGTCATGCAGGAATTGCACAAAATCCTCAGCCCTGGCCTGCAAGGGGTCTTCCCTCGCTCCCAGATGAAGGAGGGAGTGGGTCATCCTAAACAGGGCGGCTGGGCGGTTCTCTGCAGACTGAGAAGAGCGGAAAAATAATTAAGTTTTGCCGCTTTTATCGCCACTAGGTAGATCTTAATATGAGACCTCACCAGTGTTCAGTCAGATTCGGAGTGACTGGCCCTCCAATCACTCTCAGGCATCTTTTCCGGCACTTCATCTCTCTCAGCTCCTCAGAGAACCAGGGAGCCAGTTGAGATCGGCACCGGGTCAGAGGCCGCAAAGGTACGACACAATCCAGAGCTCTGGCAGCCACCCTATCCCAGGCGGCCACCAGTTCTTCAGTTGTGCCATGAGCCAGAGCATCAGAGAATGGCCCAAGCTCTGCCAGGAACCTATCCGGGTCCATCAGGTGCCTGGGACGGAACCACCTGGTCGGCTCCGTCTCCCTGTGGCAAGGTGTAGTGGTTCGAAAGTAAACATTTTTCTTTCTCAAAATAATCAGAAACATGGTCCAATCATGATGCAGTACTGCAATTGGGTAGCATCACTCTGCCTTCCTCCGACCAGGTGTGAGAATGTCCTTGGTTTTCAGGAGAAGGTATTTTGTTTTGGCTACAAGATCCCTTCTATCTCAAATCTCTTAACTCCAATGTGGCAACACCGAAGCAGTCAAAATGGTTTTGGTCAGGCCAGCTTCAGAGTTGACATTGTCAGGGTGCTAATTAATCCCATTCTGCTTTTGGGTAATCGCATTTTGATTTAGAGAAGTGGATCGAGGCTTTTCCCTTGAAGCATGCTTTAAGAAAATAAACCTGAAGATATATTTTCTAAGAAAAACTCATTTATTTGTTATAAAGAAAATAAAACATCTTACTAATCTAATTAGTTACATCTTGGCAAAGCTTTCCCGGCCACCTCTCTTGGCTGGACCTCTTGGCAGGAGAACAAAGAAGGTTAGAAGAGTGTAGGAATGTAGACATGCGCAGTTAGCTTACTGATAAGAACTTGGCAAGCTACGGTAAGTCTTAGAGTTCAAAAATAAGAGCTCATCTGGTAAATACAAAAACGCAGTGACAGACATAATGACTTAAAAGTCAGGCATCAATCAACATACCCCAATCTAAAATAAACATCTAAAAATCCACTTTGAACAAGCACTATAAATACCACATAGAGAACAACAAGAGAGGAGCTCCTTGAAGATGGGCTGCAGCACGAGCCCAAAATCTCATAAGATAAAACCTCTGATCCTGATGACTGACCCAGATTGGATCCTGTAACATTATCCTGGGACACATATATTTGTCTTCATTCATGAGGTTACATATATAGTCCAAAGAGATCCTGATTTAGAGGTCAAATAGTTTGATTATTCGGCCATTATTGAAAGTGCTTGTGTAATATCACTTGCTCCCATCTCAATTACTACATATCCTCATGGAAACAGACTAGTATAATAAACAAGAGTCTCTCATCTCTGTTGAGAGATTCCTAACTAATAATCAATACCACATACTGAAGGCAATGTATAAGTTAACTGTTTTGTTGTTTTCTGATTTTTCATAAATAAACTTTAACCTTTTTTTTCTAACAGAATTTACCGTAGCTGTGCATGTACTTGATCTGATCTGGATATAGGGATTAAGATTGTATTGGTGACAAACTTAACTGGAAGTTACCCAGTATAATTTTCTAACAAATATAAAATGGAAATAAGAGATGATTTCATGCCAGGAGTACTCAAGTCCAACATGGAATGGTAGTCTTCAGTCCTTACATCAGTTTCCGCCTTCATAGATGTTTCTGGTTGTCTTTCAGACCATTGGGGCAAAATCATAATTGTTCCCATATTCAAAAAACTGAGAGATATGGAAAAATCACGAATGATTAGATAACACCTACAAGTAAACTCTCATTAGCAAATTGTTTAAAATAAGACAAAATACCAAAGGATTTTATAATATTGTTCTTACTACAATCTTATTGTTATGCAATATTCATCAATTTATTTCTACAGAAAGTTTGTAACAATATGCTATATGAAACTGGCCACAGGACTTCTCCTGTTACCTAAAATCTGACATTTTATTTAAAGTTAATATTTCTCATCTATCAATTTCCTTACTGACATTTTCACTTCCTTATTCCGTAAACTATAGATGATTGGGTTGAGAGTTGGTGTTAAGATACTATATAGAATTCCCACAAGTTGGTCTTTTTCCAATGAGTAGCTGGAAATAGGTCGAATATATGTAAAAATGCTGGAACCATAGAAGAGAATCACAATGGTGAGGTGTGATGCGCAAGTAGAAATGGTTTTGTGAAGGTGTCTTTTCTGTTGGTTGCTCAAAATGGCATGAAGGATGAAAGCATAAGAAACTAACGTAAAGAAGAACGGGCTAAGCCCAATGAAAACACCCAAAGTGTACAACGCAAGTTCATTGATTGATGTGTCAGAGCATGAGATACTTAGCAACGGAGGAATATCACAGAAAAAGTGATTAATTCCATTTGACTGGCAAAAGGACAGACGGAATGTGAATACAGTATGAAGACAAGCATTAAGAAAGCCACAAGCCCAGGAAATCCCAGCTAGCTGCAGACAGATATGTTTATTCATGAATCTAGTATACCGCAATGGACAACATATAGCAAAATAACGGTCTAGAGCCATGGAGGCTAAGATGAATCCCTCAGTGCCTACCAATGCTATCAGAAAATATAATTGTGCAGCACAGCCCATCAAGGAAATGCGTGGAGTTTCCACCCAGAGATCTGCTAACATTTTGGGCACAGTCACAGAGATGTAGCATATATCTAACAATGAGAGATTGCCAAGAAAGAAATACATGGGACTGTGGAGAGATTGATTTAGCACAACTACAATGATCATGAGTGAGTTCCCCACTAAACAAATAATATACATAATAAGAAAAAGGAGGAAGAGGAAAATCTTCCCTTTTTTAATATTCATATATCCCAAGAATATAAACTCCGTAACAAATGTTTGATTTTCAGCATATGTTGAAATCATGATCTATAAGCAGACTACCATGAATAAAAATGATATTTAAGCCTATATGTTGTACAGTTTTTGTGCTTTATCCAATATTGCCTTTGGTCCTGATAGTTCCTGTGCACATAAAGTAAGAGTTTGTGTCATTCAGAAGGATTCCAGCATCTAATATTCACTTGGCAAAACTTCACTGCCTTGATTACCATTCTGAATATTCCTTCTTGGCTTTCAATCCTGTTTGGTCTCCTAAATTAGCACATTATCAAGAAAGGAAGGCATACAGTACACAATAATCCTAAATAAATTATGAATTCTTTTATGAAGGTTCCAATTTTCTCAGTTTCTTTTTCCAGGCCCAGAAAGGTTAATCCACATTTCCTTTGCACATTATGATTTGTGATCACACTTTGAAAGCTACTTATTTTTATCCTGATTTGGAGAATATAATTTAATGGCCAAGCTGCATATTAATTAAATGAAACATTGCAAATAACATCTTCATATATCTCTTAATTTTATGATTGGTTTATTTTTAGCCAAGTGGAAACTATATCTAATGTTTTATTATGGTAATATACAGCATGATTGATTAGGCATGCAAGGTGTGTTTGCAGTAAGTTAATGCATATAGTAGCAGCTTTTTCCCTGCAGGTAGTAGTAACTGGAGAAACTCATCTCAACTCTGGTATTAAAGAAAGGAATAATCATGTTCTGTAAGTTGCAGTCCTGATAACTTTTCCAAGAGTATCTATCTATAAAAAAGTGGGAAAAAAATAGCTAAGTCAGTATTTCATGCATATTAAATAAGTGTTTAATTAATACATAATATGACACATGTCTCACTCAATCCTCAAATTTTCAAATATTATATGGAAGTTATCCATATTCTTAATTTATCAAATTGTAGTGATTCAAGTTCCATAATAATTTATGTTATGTAAGGCATAGGAAATATAGTTCATTCCTGAGACAAATTAAGAATGGTATTTTTATATCTGCTACTTCTTTAAATCATCCAAATTGTTTAAGATTTGTGTCAGTTTTTGTGTCAAGATTTTACTTTATTATTGTCTTTTTATCATTATTAAAAAGCTAAGAAAAAAAATGCTGGTGGGAAACATTGAAAACAAGACCAGAAGATCCCATAATCAAGTTGTAGACTGTATAAACATAAAAGAAGTTCAAATCCCTGACAGAAATTTAATCCAAACATTAAATAGATTTGTCCCAACATTCATTTGGTTTGGATAGTGCTTATCATAGATTCACTTGTTTTCTCTATAAGTCATTTTTTTTCTTCTCTAATTGTCATGTACTGCATTTCTTTCATTCTAATTGTGAAATAGGTTGGAAATCTAATATTATTCTCTGTTTTTTTTTAAAGTTGATAGAAATACCATAAATACATTTCACTTCGACTAAATTCCTACTTTGCAAAAGGAACATTATTTTTGCTTATTTTGAAGCAGTATACTATGGTACAGCAAAGGATTTTCATTTATGCAATTAATGCTTGAGGAAATCTACTTTTACAGGTTTCAATCTTGCTTATAATAGTATTCATTTGATTTCTCCTTAAGTCATTTTTTTATTCCCTAATTCTCAGAACTATGTACTGTATTTCTTTCATTTTATTGTGGAATAAATTAGACATCTAATATTATTCTCTGTTTAAAACATCAAGTATAGATATAATAAACACATTTCACTTCCACTAAGCCTGTGATAGCAAACATAAGGTACACATGCCAGACTTGGCATGCAGAGGGCATGCCTCTCTGAGGGCATGTACATAGTTGCCCCAGCCCAGCTCGAATCGCATTTCTCCATTGCGTTTCACTCAATCAATTCCAAATTCTGACAAAAGAAAAAGATCTTGCAAAGTTGGAATTGATTGAGTGAACTTTTTTTACTCACATGCTTCACAATGGGGGAGATGGGGTCCCCTCCTCCTCAAGCCCATTATGATGCGGAGTCAAAATGCGACCCTGCGTTGGCTCGGCCCGGCAAAAATGGATGGAGGGATAGATAGATAGATAGATAGATAGATAGATAGATAGATAGATAGATAGATAGATAGGCGAATGGATGGATAATACACAGAGAGAGAGGTAAAGAAAGGGAGAGAAGGAGAGAAAGAGTGAAACAGAGGAAGGCAAAGAGAGGGGGTGAAAGAGAGAGAAAGAGACACAGAGAGTAAGGCAGAAAGAGGGAGGGAAAGAGAGCGAAAAAGAGGGAGGGGGAGGGAAAGAGAGAGAGTGGGGAGGGAAAGAGAAAGAGGGGGAAAGAGAGTGGGAGGGAAAGAGAAATGATATTACAAATGTTTTTCTTTTTTATAGTTGCTAAATGTAATATTTCAAAAGCAGGAAAAAAATGAAGGGCATAAAAATGCATTTATCACATTTTTCTTAGAACAATTAGCTGAACTCTGATGTTCATCAATATTTTGGGTAATAAAGCCTCATTATTCAGGTTAAATTGCCGTGTTGGCACTTTGTTATAAATAAGTGGGTTTTGGATTGCAGTGTGGGCACTCAGTCTCTACAAGGTTCACCATCATTGCACTAAGCACTTACTTTGCACAAGAAACGTTACTCTTGCTCCTTTTGAAACCATATGCTGTGATAAAGCAAAGCAAAAGATTTTCATTCATGCCAATGGATGCTTGAGGAGATCTAATTAATAAGGGGTAAAATTAATCAAGGATAAAGGAGCAGTACATTACTGAAACAATACAATGAAAAAAATACATCTATATATGGCAAGCAGAATTAATTAGCAGGAAATACTTTTACCATTTAGACTTGATGAGGTGCTTGGTCAAAGCATTTACAAAAATCTTGAGAAGGAAGAATAACAGCAGGAGAAAGAATAAGGGAATAATATAGTTGTGTTTGATCTAATAGAATATAATCTTGGTAAAATAATATACTACCTGGACCTATTGTAATGACTCTATGGCATTTAAAACAGGGGTTTCTCCCACAGGTTTTAATCCCACAACCATCTCCAAGATCTACTCCTCCCCAATGGGCTTTGTGTTTTTCTTAGTTCTCACAGGAATCCAGATCTCCCCAATACATGTTCTGAATACTTTGGCACTTGAAAATTCTATGAGACTGTGTGTATTATTTTGTAAAAGCTCAAGTCTTCTGACTCAGCATCCAAAGACTATTCCTCACAAATCACAATTTCAATGTCTTGAACTCTTACTTAGCAACTCTTACTTGATCACGGAAACCTTGAATGGGGGTGTATGGGGATCTTCCCATAATTCTACGCATAATTCTATGTATTTAGTGGCAATGTAACAGATTGTGCTGTGATTATATTTTTCATTAAAAAGTACTAGGATTCTTTTTACTCAGTTAAAGATTTATATTACTCTAGTATATTTTGGGAAGATAGGTCAAGCCCTAAATAGCATCCCAAGCTGTGTGTGTGTGTGTGTGTGTGTGTGTGTGTGTGTGTGTGTTTGTGTTTAAACAGTTTAAAAAGTCTTGTATGCTTTATTAATGGGTCTATACATGTATTTCTCTTAAAGTGAAAAGTCTAAGGAAATAGGTAGAGCAAAAGCACAACACATGTAGGCTCCCACCCCCCAAAAAAGATTTCTAAGCATGTTTTCAATATCTTGTGCATGTTTTAAACATGCTTAAAATGGCAGATGGCACATGTGAAAACAATGGGGCAAAATTTGCATTCACACCTTTTCCTTCTACATTTACATATACAATTCTTATACTTCCTACACTGGAAAATTCCTGCTCACTTGTCCTTCCTCTTTCTCTACTTCCTTTTTCATTGTCAATCTGTCTTGCTGCCAATAGCTGCTGTTCCTGTTCTGTCAGTCAAAATTTCTTCTGCATTTGTAAAGGCAGGAGAAAGAATATTCCTAGAAAGTTGCCTGATATTCAGAATCTATTGCTTGATGTTCATAATCTCATCTTTTGTGTGTGTCATAGAAAATAATAAAAAACATCAAAATTATTAGAGAGCATTTCACTGAGGCTGCCCTCAGCATGACTATCTTGAGGTGAAAAAAACAAATATCCTATTTGTGATTTGAAGATATAACAAATATCCAGTCCCAAAATATGGTATGAAATATGTATTCATTACATTTAATTCTTTTCTTATTTTAATAATTATCTTTTAACTTCTTCCAGGTTGTTAATCAAGTTTACTTTACTTTATTGTCATTGCACTTCATACAACCAAATTAAATGCCATCTTCAGTGTACATTATAACTATAAAAATAAAACACAAAGCATGACTTCTATTGTGTAAAATGCATGATATAAAACTATATTCTGCAATCTGAGTCTACCAAGATGTTTTGGTTACAAAAATCCAAATGAAGGGATGGAATGGGAATTTTAATACATGTAGCAAAATTATTTGATTCTTATTTTTCCTTATATAATATATTTGGCTGTTATTTATAAAGGATTCCAACATAATAAAAACATTATTCTGATGTGCTAGTTTTTAAAAATATTTTTAGAGCTTGCTAAAAGGAAGAGTATGTTACTCAGTATGTAGCACAACTCAAACATCTATAACATTGTCTTGCTAAAATTATTTGTATATCTATCAAAATAAATTGTTCAGTGGATCTGAAAACACAGAATCACCCTATCTTGTTTCTTGATCTTTTTTTTTTTTAATGGTAGAAATAATACAGAAGGGTGAGCAATATTGATTATTTCTCAAATTTGATGTTTGGATTGGGAATTTTAATTGGATTTATAAGCTATTGATCATAGGAGTTCCTTCTGCACATTTAAAATAAAAGTTGTTACAACTTACATTGTTGCAAAATGAAATTGTAGATACTTCAGATATTCTTTTTTTACATTTTCCTTCTTTCCTTAAGAGTGTTTTGTTTCTTAAAATTTGAACTATTTTAAAGATTTATGTAGAGATACTTATTTCAATTGATACAAGTCCCATCTTTATATTTTCAGTAGCCATTTTCAGCCATTTTGTTTAATTTTTTGAAAATATGGAGTCA